TTGTTTATGAAGTAGGCACCCGGTCGTGTGTGCACCTGTTGACGTGCTGGCAGCCACTACACTTAAATCACATCGCCACCTGGGTGAGAGGTTAGGACCGAGTGATTTGGACACTGGGGCATCCATCCTCTCGGCACGTGGAATGCACCCCTCACCACAGTAAATCTGACGCGCTTGAGTCTATCAAGACGCGCCAAGAGTCGTGGCTTGGAGGGCTGTGCACTCAATTAGGAACATTTTGGAGGGATTGAAGGACTGACAGTCAGGCTGCATTGACTCCTTCAAAATGTTGCCTTTGTTGTACTCTCACAAATGTGCGATTACCAACGCCTTGTAGAAATCTGGCACACATACTTAAGACCAGGTCGTGCGTGGCACGCGTAGACGGGTTGTTAAGTTTTGTCAGACACTGCCACGCACCCATCTCTGGTCGTCTTAACATTGCCTTACCATAGGAGTCGGGTGGTTGAGGGCGGGGAGAGTGCGGTAGATGCTTCTCAAGTCTGCTTCGTTGTGAACTAATCCCCCGTAAGTCGTCGATACTGAGCTCACCCGTTCCTGCTACCGCTCTTTGACTATGTCTCTGATGACGAATCCGCGACGGATCTTGAAACGTCAGGTGAATAAAAGTATTGTCCCAGCGATCGAGTCGTCTTCTTCTGAGCTCACTCCGTTGGGCTCTTGCTGGACGTCGTCAATCGCGACGTTCAAACTGTTGGATGGATTAACGCTATTCAGATGTAAGGATGTCAATGCTTGAACCTCATCGCAAACTGTAACCCTGTTTCTTTTTCTTTTTCCCCTCACAGCCCCTCTTATGCCAAACGATCTCGGCGACACGGCTTCACAACCGTGTCCACCTCTTCCGAAGTCCGGTCTCATTTCCGCCCTAAACTCACGTGGTTCTGCCTCTTCTATTGACACAGCGGAAATCGCACCTACCAATAGAAAACCAAGTACGCCCGAGAAGTCTTCGCCGTCCAAACTGTTTGGAGAGTTGGACAGCGTTGGCCGACAGATGTTGGGCTTGACAGCGTAAGTGCTTCTTCGGCAACCGCATCGCCTCAGCTGCTGTCTGATTGGCAGGGTGCATACTTTTTCCTTTCGATAGTCTTGATCTTTTCATTGGAGCGTTTAGCGGCTTTGTGTTTTCTTCGTCTGTCTGCCTGCCTAATGAAAAACAACAAGGGTCAAAATTTTCAAGTGCTGGGTTTGCCGATCCTGGCACGACTTGCCCAAGTGACCAAATGAACTTGCGGGGGAAGGGTGGATGGCGGACATAAATCACAGACGTCTGCCACGATAGAGGCGAGCTATTATCGAAGTTCTTTTGAAGTTTCAATATGTGGGTTTCTCAAGTGACGCTATAGGCGGGAGCGAAGTTATGGTCTATATAACATGATGAACGCTCACACACAGTCATTCTGCGAAACTTAATGTTCAACCGGTGCCCTCGGGGGTCAAACGATTAATCCCGCGTCTTCAATCTGGTACAATATTCCATGCGCACAAGGTCTCTTTCTGGAAGCCAAGGTGCATTAAGTTTTTTTCAGAAGATATATAGCATGTATTTTGGATGCCTTTTGAGCAAAAATCAGATATGTGGTCCCACTCAGAAGCAATGACTCTCATAAGACAGAAATGGTTGTGCCATGGGTTTTGTGGGCGAGGTAATTGTAACTGCCATATACCAGTTTTTAGGGATCCAAAAAATTGCTTTTACATCCTTAACGACACAAGCGTGCGATTTGAAATATTGGAAACTAGGAGCTGTAAACGGGCAAATAATAAAAACTGAAGGCACTAGTTAGATATTCCAGGCGATCTGAACCCAATCCATGCTGACCAATCACGTTGAAGGATACTGTAAGAATAATAGCTACATCGGAAAAACATGACTCTCGTGATGCCTGCGACCGAAGAGACTTCAAGTCGACAACACTGACAGCCTAATCCATAACCCTAAACACGTGCCTTAAGTCCTACACTAACGTATAATTATAATTCCAACCCCCTAGCTGCAATCCTGATCTCAACCTCTAACTCTTACCGTAAGGTTAAACATTAAAATAGTTCTTCGGACAAAATTGTCTTTATGCTTACCCTAAACCTAGTATTTTAGCTTGTCATAGCCCTTTTTAGGTCGCAGTTGCTTTTTCGCGTTCCATTGGCGATTAACAATCGACGACTCTGGTAGTAAAACAGACTATGAGAAGGTAGGACTTT